GTTGGGGGGAAGACCCTCACATCTTAAATTAATGTTTTCACTGCACAGAAATGCAAGCATTCATCTGTACATCCCTGTGCATACACTCACCTAGTAGTGAAACCAACCAAGTTTTAAAACAGAAATGGGGGAAAGGCAAAGCCCAGATAATATGCCGTAGTGACAGAAATTCCTCGCATTGCACTGCTGTTAAACAAAAATGTGGAAAGCAGCTACTACATCTCAGTGACCTCACTCAGAGACCCTTCCCTGTGCAATTGGAGTGTGAAGGAACGTATTCATGGGCTTCATTTGGGCATAAAGTTATCAGACTTCTCTTTTGGCACTGGATCAGTGTCCTCGCTATAAATTACAGAGAGTTTTGCTTCCTCTTTCCTCACTTTTATCATTATTCTCTGTTTGCAGTTGTGCTTCATTTACCCCTATTTTTACTGTGTTGTTTTAATCCAGATTTGTTTTAATCTGTGTTTTAAAGCAAGCTTCTGTGTGACCACATGGACATTTGGCAACCACTTCTTATTTGTCTGGCTCTCCTAGGCTCCAGCTTAATTCTCTTATCCGGAGCACCTGCCCTCAGGCTCCCGAAGAAAATACAGGAGTATGTAATACTACTAATAACTGTGTGTCATTAAGTTAATTTTGCTTTATGACAACCCTTGCCAGGTTTCCTAGGTATAAACCTCTCAAAAGTGGTTTACCAGAGTCTTCTTCTGGGACTGTGCAGCTTGCCCAAGGCTTCACACATTGGCTCTTTCGGTGAGGAATTGAACTCACAACTGTGTATTTTATCTCACTGAGCTATCCAGTCAGCTCCACCAAAGGCTAAGGTATATTGTTATGCTCTGTTGGTGTATGACCAGAGAAGTCCATAGCTTTCTCGGTCAAACCACTTGAAGTAGTGATCAAAACAAAAAAATAGTCAAACTTTATTTTCAAGGCTCGAATACAACCTAAACAATGTTAGGCTGATTAAGTGTCAAACACTCAGTTTCTGTTATGATTCTCTCCCTCAACAGTGATGTCAACAATCTCCCCCACTTTCTTATATTCACTGTACTCATAAACCCTCTCACAGCATTTCAAAGAGTTGACAAGCTGAGCCCAAAAGAAGGATAGATACCAGTGGTGACCATCACGATCTCCTTCTCCAGTTCTTGCTTTTTCTGTTATATTTTTGAATATAGAAGAACATAAAAAGAATTTTGCTGATCAGACCAAAGATCTATACAGCTACATTCTTTCCCCCTACCAACTGCAGACTGTGAAGAGACATGCCCTTGTAACAGCATTGCTGTTAAACAATGGCACAACTACTGCAGACAATACTATCACTTTTATTAGGCTGTCTTTTATAATCGTATTCTCCACACCTTGGTTCACTCTCATCTGTTTTGCATGAGACATGCCCTTGTAACAGCATTGCTGTTAAACAATGGCACAACTACTGCAGACAATACTATCACTTTTATTAGGCTGTCTTTTATAATCGTATTCTCCACACCTTGGTTCACTCTCATGTTTTGCATGTTTATTATAGGAAGCTTTTAGAGTAAGTTACTAAGCATTTCAATTTATTCTGGTATTTTTGTTAATTAAAAGATACAGGCATATCTTGAAAACAAAATGTTAGGCTGCCCTCTGCTGGAAATAGTTGTGAAAGAAGAAAGCATAAAAATTGAGGCTGCCCTCTGCTGGAAATAGTTGTGAAAGTAGAAAGCATAAAAATTGCAAAGTAAACATTAAGGAAAGAAATTAAAAGAATACGGAAAGGAAGATCATGCCATCCTTCTCCCCATTCTAATTTCAGCAACCTGGAGTTGTTCCAGAATCTTTGATTACCTATTTAAAACAATTGCCAACAGCTGCTTTGTTTTAATTTGTTTGAATTTGTTTGAATTACTTTGCTTCCTGTAATTAAAAGTAAGTGATTTTGCAAGCATGTCATCTCACCCGCACATTTTTAGACTTGACTCATAATTTTTAGTCTTGACCCTTTGGTCCACCCAAAGCACCAGCAATGTTGAGAAATAAGAAATGCAATGTAATAAATAATAATAACATGTCATTAGGGAGATTCGAATTTATGGCAGCTTTTGCCAAGGTTTCCTAGATGTTACATGCTCGAAAATGGGTTACCATTAACTTATTCTGGGGCATCCTGTGACTGTACAGGTTGCCCAAGGCCATGCAGGTTGGCTCCTCTCCCTGGCAGCACAGTGGGAAATCCAATCCCAGTCTTGGCTCCACAGCCATGTACTTTGACTCACTGAGCTATCTCAGTATATTGAGTCTAACAATGTTATTACAGATCATGTTGGATTCATACATAATGGACAGCTCTTATTTCAGAAAACTCTATCACAGAACTCAGTAAGGTGGATTTAACCATTTCTCATATATTTTTTTAAAAAGGGCAAAGAAATTGTTTTGATGTAATTGTGAATGAACGATCTCTGTAGGAAAGGTAGCTGAATACAATCTGGTCATCTTTGTACTGCAGGTAGGGCTGGAAAAAAGTTTCTGTCTGAAATGACAGAGAGCTCTTGCCCGTTACAGCTGACAGTGCAGAGCTGAATCGGTCTGATTCATTATTTTTTAAAGAAGAAAAATCTTTGGTGTAAAGCAAAAAGCGAAGATTGAAATGGCATCCCTCAAAATAATGAAATTCAGTTTGCAGTGTGATCCCTGGTGCTTAGTTAAAACATAGGCACCTTGAAATAACCTTCTGCACAAAAGGTGAATTTTAATCTCTGATTCACTAAAGAGAAAAAGATCTGTTTTCTCCCACTTTTATTATATTATACCTCACCTTTCTCTCAAAAACTAGAACATACGGCAAGATACCTTTTTGGTTTAAAATGAAAGCAAGAAAATTCCCAGAACAGGAACATGTAGATTTAGTTTAAACCCAAAAGGTTACGATTGAGCACTGTAGCTCCCAAAATAAGGAATTTGAGACCACAGATCAGCCTCCCCTTCTTACAACATGAACACAAGGTTGTACCCTCTTGAACCTTAACTTCCTTACCAAAGTGTAATATCCCTAGTCATCCATTTTGTTTCCTATATAGCACATAACTAGTACTTTGGAAGAACTGAGATGAAACATAGGCATTTATATAAACAGCAGTCTTGAGGTGGGAGTACAACTTAAACTGTAACTTTTTGCTTTAAATGGAAGATTCCTCATGAAACACAAGGAGACATCCACCAAAATACAGATCAGCTGAACCAAACTAGAAAAGATTACGTAACTGCAGCTAATATTGTTCTAACAATATGCTGTTTATGCAGGATCAAAGTCTGTCCTTTTTTTCAACTCTTCCCCTGTGACTAGCGTAGTGCAATACAGGGAGTGGGGTGGCTAATGGGATTATGCCACAGTGTTTATGTGGGGGAAGAGTGCACTAATGTGCAGAAATCGTGATTAGAAAAAGCTAAAATGTGTGATCTAAGTAGGGGCAGCCCTACCATTAGGCTCAATGAGGCAGAGTCCTTGAGAGCAGTAAATACATTGCCCCCCCCACTGCTGCCCCAAGGGGGCTATGCTGTTTTGGAGAGGTGTTGTTATGGGCCAAGGAGAAGACAGAGTGTAGCTGACAGAACAATGATTTCTGAGGCCAGGGTGCTAGTTAATGGCCACAGGTCAGATGATAGATTCAGTCTGGGACTTGTGGGAACCCTGGTTTATCAGTTCTAAACAATGTGCTAGTGCACATTATTAGATCAGTCTCATTTGCACAGTTGGGGCATTATGTTATTCAAATGTAAGAGCCTGATGTTGTCCCAACAAACCAGAGCAAGAATGCAGGGTTTGTTTTTGGCTTCATTTCACTGGTTCATTTGGAGAAATGCAAGCCAGAGCAGGGAAATTGACCAATGAAATAAAGAGACAACAGAGCACAGCTTTCAGATGGAATAGTTCGCCAGTATACTTATCATACAAAATGAGCTGGGTTCTTGAATTTCCTTCTGTCAATGTATCACCCAAGCATCCTTTGGCTTCCTCATGCAAGCTGAACTCCTTATGTTGTTACAGTGGGAGGGAGAATGAAGATGCAATCTCTTGTAAACTCTTGAAGCCATTAGAAAGGTTCAGATGGGCACAGCTCTGCTAGCCTCTTGGAGCAAAGACAGCAAAAAGTCTTAGGGCAGCTCAAAAGCAAATATGTTTTATTTGGCATAAGCTTTTGTGGACTTTGGTCCACGAAAAGCTGGTGCCAAATGAAATGTTACTCTGTAAGGTGCCTCGAAGACTTTTGTTTGCTTGCTTCTTTCAAACCAAGTCATCTTCTGATGAGATGTTTGAGTCTTTGCAAGTGGAGTTGAGGCGAGAACAAACCCAGTGGCCAACCAATCCCTATAGCAAAACAACAAGGCAAGGCCAGAGGTGCCCCCCAGAAAGTGTTAAGTTAGTGCATACTAAGAGAGAGATGGGGGAAATATAACCATAAGAACTTAGTGTGACTGGTAGCACTCAGTGGCCTCAGAGTGAACACTGCATTAGAAAAACAATAATGAGCACATAAAATGCAATTAGGTAGAAGTTGCTTTTTAAAAATATCACCTCTACTAATCTGTTTCCTTGGCAACTTCAGAATCTTAAATACGTGTTTTAAAATGTGTGTTGGTTGGCAAGAAATCCCCTCTAAATTCCCAGTTTTGAGATTCATTTAAATAAACACTCAGAATGTATATATTTGTATAAAGTCACAACGTACTTTACATTTAATTATAACTTAGCAGAGCAAGGCAGGTGCTTAATTGTATTTACAAGTGATACATGCAGTGTAAAACATTTTCATTAAATGCTCTTCCCCAAGCGCTTGGAGCACTTAAGAAGAGCATTGTGTAAATAATAAGTAGGTTCTGTATGCCACTGTAGGCTACTGAAAGCATTTCAGAGGCACTATGAGGTAAACCCTACCACAATTCTGGAAGGCAAGGATGGGAAACCATTGGCTTTCCAGATGTTTTGATCTATAACTCTCATCAGCTCTATTTGACATGGTCCGTGTCATGCAGCATGAGGTTGTGGGAGATGTAGGCTCAAATATCTGCTGGGCCAAAGGTTCCCCAACCCTGCCGAAAGATTAAAAAACGTGTGTAATTTTTCACATGTTGCAGGTGGATGCTGAGGATGAGAATCTTAATCATTAATCCGTTAAATTGACTTTAATGATTAATGAAGGCTTACTAGTGTATTAATAAATAAAGCAAGTCTTGAACCAGAAGTTCAGCGTTTTGAGTGGATGGATGGTTCTGAACAGGTGACATCTCAGTGCCTTCATTTAGCAGAACATCTCATAGGCTTAGGGAAAATTTCACCCAAAAAGGGAAACGGTGAAGTATTGCACATTGTTTTGCTTCCAGCACTGTTTAATTCATGGTCAGTGGAATCCCAGCTGGAAATGGCTCAGAGTTTGATCCTGAAGCCATAAGCCACCATGGACTTATGGTACCTAGAGAGGTGAGAATAAATGGGAATGTCTTCCACAGTCATTTGCTGGGGCACTTTCTGCAGAAGTTTCTTGCGATCCTCTCCGTGACAATGCCTCTCGCTTTTGTTCAAAAACAGAGTGTCTTCCGTGGAACCGCTATAAAGCCCAATATTGTCAGCGTACTAGGGAAGAGAATTAAAGCACTTATTACAAACTTGTGCAAAACATTTCTGCCAATAATAATGCTGTAATCAATAATCATTTTTTAAAACAATCAATGCCAATAATGAATTAATACTGTAAACTGAGAAAAGCTAACTGTGCAGGATAAGCAAGCATGTTCAATGGGCAATCTTTGGCTATCGGCCTGATTTCATGCAGCTGAATTTCAAAAGCTTTCTTGCATGGATCATTTCAGGGAACAGGTTTGGAAAAGTTGTGTTTCAGGACTAGGGGTTCTCAAGCCTGCCAGATAGCACAGCCATTGAGCATGCTGGCAGGAGGATTCTGGGAGCCACAATAATAAAAAGACTTTTCCAATCCCTCTTTTGAACATCTGGAAAGAGCAACGTGTGCTTCCCTTGGCTGTTGGCTGAGTGAAAAGGGAAACAAAGTGGAGGGAAAGGAAGAGAAGGGGTACATTAGCAGTACATATTGAAATCCAGTGATAACTTTGGCTCTTTCTTCCAGTGGCAGACAAAGCAGTTTCCTTTCTGTGATATAAATTAGAGAAAGCTAATAGCAGACAGAAAACGCAGCTTGAAGATGTTAGTTTTTTGAACTACAGCTCCTGCACTTTCTCAGCCAGGATTGCCTCTGGTGCTACTGGCCGGAGGATTCTGGGACTGTCGTTACAAACAACAACTACACACTTTCCCAAGTTCTGAGAAAATGCTTGGAAACTTTAATGACCAACATCCTGTTGCGTAGTTGCACGAATAGTGTAACCTAACCAATATTGTTAACTCACAACCCAAATTTAAGTTTGGCTTTCATAAATAATGTTACCTTCAATCCTAAACACACGTAATTGCCAGTAGGCCCCACTGAATTCTGTTGGGCTTGCTTCTGAGCAGACATGTATAGGACTGTGCTGTCAATTTCAGCCTCAGTTATCTGGGTGTAGAACTGAACCACGGGCTATCTGAATGGTGAATATACAAAGAAGTCTACTGCTTTAAAAATCTCTTCAAGAGATAGATCAGTTGGATTTGATATTTACACATTTCAGAAAGCATGAGGAATCTTGCCACCTCTCTTTGCAGATAAAAATCACTGGTTAAAATCCTCTTGTGTGTCATCATGATTGCTCCAAGTTAAGAAATCACCATAAATGCTATCAGTTGCACATTGAATCACGTAACTCCATATGCAACCGAGAATGTCTATGCTGATTACATGGGGCAATTCGCCTCCAAAAGTTATGCCATTTGTGCCATGCCAGTATAACTAGGTAAGAGGCTTTGGGCCACTGGGTATTTTGGCTCGCCAAAACAGGGCTCACGTTCCCACTCTGTCCAGAAGTCACTGCATGCCCAACTTCCCTACCTTTAAATTCAGTGTGCGGTACTTCATATCTTGTTTCCAGGGCATCACATAGAGCTTTGGGATCATCCCATGTCTGTATGAAAATCTTGGCAAATGGCAATGAACAAGCCTGGAAATATGGCAAAGGCAAAAACAAACAAAACACACGCGCCATACAATACAATTAATGTTTTCAAGACCATTTTATACACAAAAGAGATTAGAACAATCCTTACCCCAAAACCCTCTCCCTAACCCCTACACCTCATAGGACATGCTGAGTTTATCATTATGCTTTTTATATTATTGAAGGTTTGACAGGTATCGTAACAGTTGTCGTTGGATAGTTGGTGCATCCATCTGGGGTGGGAAAAAAACCTAGGTTCAAATTATCACTGTGTGACCTCCAGTCAATCACAATGTCTCAACCTAACCTACTTTACAAGTGAAATTATTCGGACATTGTGACAGGTATCGTAACAGTTGTCGTTGGATATTGGCGCATCCATCTGGGGTGGGAAAAAACCTAGGTTCAAATTATCACGGTGTGACCTCCAGTCAATCACAATATCTCAACCTAACCTACTTTACAAGAGAAATTATTCAGACATTGCAGGGCCCAGGCCTGGCATGTTAGGGCACTTGGACCAGATAACTTTGCTGAAATTAGCAAACTCATCTGGTGTAATTCACACTGGGCCACAAGGGATTGGTTGAAAATTAGTGGCTTTCAATTAACTTTACAGCCATGTTTATCTCAAAAAAGGAAGTCTGGAAGCCACTAAAACAGAACTAGCTTGTACTCTATGTGGAGCGATCTCACGAACCATCCCTGCTCTAGAGGAAGCAGAAGAACTAGGCATTATTTCTCCTTCTCAAGCTGCCTTACAGAGCCATCGTTTTGCGGTGTCGTATGTAGTTTGCTCTTACAATTTATCATGGTGTAAGCATCCTGGTTGTCATAGGGCTGGTCCAAAAATGCCTGCTCTTCCTTTCATTGTTGTAGCTTTTAGTAATCTCTTGCATCAGACTGGGGAACTTTGAAGCTCCAGCTGTTTTGGACTACCACTCCCATAATCCCTTGCCATGGGTCGTGCTGGCTGGGACCACTAGGATATGAAGTCCAAAAAAAATCTCAGAGGTTAAATGCTCCCCAGTAGAGATGATGCAGACTTGGGGATTTGGATTACAACTCTGTAGCCATGATGCTTGCCGAATTCTGGGAGTTGTAGTTCTGAAACACAAATCTGCGCACTTCTAATTGTCATCCAAACATATCCATATGAATACTGTAGGTATCAGAGATGAACAAGCATAGCTAAAACTTAGAATTCTCAAATGGATCAGGAAAAAAAAGGTAGCAAGATTGTGCAGCCCAATTGTTTAGAATACTCCCTGCTGGAGAAAATATTTTCCCTCAAAGGACTGAAGTCTTTCCCTTACCCTCTCAGGTCAGTATTAATCCCCTTGGAAGCGACATTGTGTTTAGAGCCCTCTGGGGGCACAGCTTTGGAGTTACTCATGCTGCAGGAGATGCACTCTACTGTTTGAGGGCTGTCCAGAAACACAACACCTTTCCCTAGGTAAGGATTATGACACACACACTGTTGTCAGACTGATGACACAAAAGTTACAATAGGAACCAAAATCTGGATCAAAAATCTTCAGATGAATGAAGAAGAGAGTGTGCGTGAATTAAGTACAATTGACTGCGGTAACTAAAAGGCAAAATCAAGACGAGTTCAGTAGTCAATTTACATTACTAGAATTATGGAGGAAGTCACAGTGATGATGGCTTCAAGCTATAATTCCTCTGGAGAGGTTGAAACAATTAATCAGAAGCACTACGTAACAAAGTCAGCTGGAACACATCGTACCACACAAGTCAACTCTGTCCATGAAAACGGAGTTGTAACACACAAATTATGAATAACCATCAACCATATAATGTGTAAAACTGAGCTTTAATGGGTTGACTGGTGAGTAAAGCTGGAAACATGTAGTTGAAAATTCAATAGTCAGTTTAAAAAAATCTTGAGTCATCTTGTATTAAATGTAGGAGCCTTGTGGCACAGTTAAATTGCAGTACTGCACTTAAGACTGCTCATGATCTGAAATAATCCAGACTCAAGCTTGACTTGGCCTTCCATCCTTCTGAGGTTGGTAAACTGAGTAGCCAGCTTGCTGAGATGAGGGCAATGTATCCCCTGCACAATTAAATTGTAAAGTGCCTAGGGTGCTTTAAGCACTATGGGGTGGTAGATAAGCAGCACACTTTGCTTTTCAAATACTTCTGTGAGACTAATGTTGGAAATACCAAAAATAGGATTTCCTTTCCATTTTCTGTGACAATGGATCACCTGTTAAATATCTCACTTACCCTGAAAGCTCTAGCAAGATCATTGTAAGTCAGTTTGGACTTGATGGCACATACGTAACAGCAACATTATAGTAAGTCAGTTTGGACTTGATGGCACATACTTAACAGCAACATTCTAAATGATTGCTTCTTTCATATTTGTTTTTAAAAATGAGATATCATCAGTTTCTTCCAAGATTTGAAGGTGTTACACATGACTATTCCCCATTGTCCAAAAAAATCATGTACTATTAAGGGGAATAATTGATAAATGGCCCAAGATCACTCAGAAAGCTTCACAAGGTTCCCCTATCCTGGCCTGCCACCCTTACCTGGGGTGAACAACACAAAGTACATCCTCGCCATCACATTTGCTGCTGCACTGCTCAATTAAAGCAGCAGCAAAAAAATAAATAAATCTGATTTTTAAAAAGGTTAAAATATATTATCTAGAGCTGTGAAAAAAAAACCCTCAACATTTTTGAAGCGAATGGCATACATGGGGCAGCACATCTTGTTCTTTTGGACTGAGCTCTTAGTACTTTCTACAAAACAAAATCCACCTTTGTAAGATTTTGTAATTCTGGAACAGATCGTATAGTGGTAATTGAGCAAGCACCTTGAAAACAACACAGCAATAACTAGAAGCCAACATGGATTTGTCAAGAACAAATCCTGCCAAACTAATTTGATCTCGTTTTTTGATGAGTTCACCTCCCTGATAGACAAGAGGGAATGCTGTGGACATAGTATATCTTGACTTCAGCAAAGCTTTTGACAAAGAGTCCCATGATCTCCTGATTAGCAAGCTAACTAGGTGTGGGCTGGACAGATCAAGTGTCAGGTGGATACACAATTGGCTACAGAATCGTACTCAGAGGGTGATTATTAATGGGTCCTTCGCTAAATGGGAGGAGTTAACAAGTGGGGTACCCCATGACTCAGTCCTGGGCCTGGTGCTTTTCAATATTTTTTATTAATTACTTGGATGAGAGAGTGCAGGGAATGCTTGTCAAATATGCAGATTATACAAAATTGGGCGGAATAGCTAATACCCTAGAACA